GCTGTGGTGCCTGTCCCCTTCATGGGGACCTTGCTGATGTTCATCCCCGCTGCAGTGTAGGAGGTGGCGCCTCTTGTTGCCCATCCCAGGCAGGGCGAGCACCCCCTGCACCCTCTGCAGCCTGAGGGAGGTTCCCTCAAAGCGCCTCCCTGCTCTCTGCACCGTACCGCCGGTCGTGGACTTGGGACTGTGGGAGTTATGTCTTATTCCCCCTCTATCTCTGGGACCCACAGGCCCAGTCTCTGACCTAGACAAGTCAGGGCCTCACTCAATGCATTCCTTGAGGAAATGAATTAAATAGAAGTCCTTAATTTCATGGGTGGCAGAGGCATACAAATTCCCCAAACAACACCAAAGAAATTGAGAAGGCTTTGCTGTGACTTTATCAAGAGCCACAGTGATGACATCTACCCCAACACACACACACACACACACACACACACTGCCCTGGCAGTTCCAGGACAGACTGCCCCAAGCAGGCCTGCTCTAGAAAAACAGAAAAATGGGACAAATGTTATTTTTAAAGATGTACACACACAAAGCCACATAAAAACACACACGCAGATGCAGGCACGCACACCACTACACATATGCACACACATGTCCCGTGTCAATAGCCCTCAAGTACCTCCTCTCTCACCTCCAGCTGGGGGCCCCAGTTCTCCTTCAGGTTCTCGGCCATTGCTGAAACACTGAAGGACCCACCTTCTCCCCCCCACAGCGGCTATGTCCTAGGCCTACTCTTTGAACCCAGACTGCTAAGTTGACAGTAGAGTTGGACAGCTCAGACCCAGATCTAGTGGCAGATTCAGGTATCAGACTGGAGAACTGAAAGAAATTTCAAGACCCCCCCCCCACCCCATGTTCTGGGTGAGAACAACCAGCCTACAGTCAGACTTCTTCTCCCAGCCCTTCTCAGGTGGGCAGAGCCTGGCTGGGAGAAGCAGGGCCCCTCAGCCCTCTGCCGAGCCCACACACCAGGGTCACCCAGTCCTCATAGGAGCAGGGCATCCTGCCAGGCCCTGTTCACAGATGCAGAACCAACCCACAAAGTCAGCTCCGGTGAGGCAGGCCCTCTCCTCATCTCTCTGGTTCTGGCTCTGGTGCCCTGTTCTTCATCACCATATTCTGAGTGCCACTGTCACCCAAAAACTGGGTTCACCTCTTGGTAGGTGTCAAACCAAAAGATAACAACCAAGCCAAAGTCTTGGAGAAGGAAGGGTTTATTACTTGCTGTAACCAAGGAGAAGGGGGTGACAGAGGATGAGATGGTTGGATGGCATCTCTGACTCAACAGACATGAATTTGAACAAACTCAGGGAGATAGTAAAGGACAGGGAAGCCTGGCATGCTGCAGTCCACGGGTGAAGGGTCAGACACAACTTAGCGACTGAACAACAACAAGAAGACCGAATATCTTTCCCAAAGCAGTGTCTCCCTGAACAGCAAATTGGGGAAGTTTTTTAAGCTAAGGGTACATGTATGCTGATGAAGGGTCTTGAGAAGAGGACAATCCAGTGTAGAATTAGGGCAAAGGTGCACAGAGTCCAAGCTTTAGTTGGTTGAAGTCAGGAGAGTCAGCATCCTCACTCTGCCCTCTACATGTGCTGGGGCCTTATTTCCTGCAGAACTCAAAGAAGGGCATTAGATAGTGATGTATATACTTGAGGAAGATCCAGGACTCTGCTTTATGGCTGAACTATTTTTTCTTGACTGCTTTCCCTTTGTTCCTGCATTTCCTCACTTCCCTTAAGATAATTAATTACTTAGACCTGTTCAAGGGCAAGCATTGTGGTCAGGCTTAGATCAACCAAAATAGCTCAGGACAAAAATGGCTTCTCTTATGTAAAGAAAGCCATCTCTGGTTCTCTTTCTCCAGGGCCCCCTACCCTATCTGCTTACATTTTCACTGGCTGTTGACAGGCATGGAAGGGAAACAAGCTGATACACCCACTGACTTGCATTGTACACCAGAGCAGCATTCAAATTTGTCATGGTAGATCTGTATATTTACTCAGTGAATAATTTTCTGCAGGCCAACATAAAGCATGTCGAACAAAGGGTGGCGCTTTCTCACTGTCCCCCCAGAGACTCTGTTTGGGTCCAGGTCTCATTGGTTGAGGGTACTCACGAGATAAGGAGGGTTAAGGAGAGCGGAGCCAGGCACTATCTATAAGCTAGCTACCTCTTGGCCCTGTTTTCAGAGGAAGCTCAGGCTCTGGGGGATGAGTCACATGCCTCAGGTGCTTTCCCAGGATAGAACCCGGGTAGACCTGCCCCTGGCCCTGCCCTGGCTCTGTCCCCTCCCAACCTCGGGTCAGCTCGCCAGGTGGAGAATAGGGCCCAGCCTCGTGCCCTGGAAGAGAAGGGACATCTCTCCTTCTCCAGCCCTAGAAGGAGGCGATGGGATGCTGGGTTCCACCACTACCCTCTGGGGTGCCCACCACAGCGATGGGAATCTGGGGCTTCAGGGTGTCCACTCAAGTTTTTCTTGGCTGCCTCTGCCTCTGCCTCCTGCTGCTCCTGCTACCATAGCCAACCCCATTAATCACCTTCACTCTCACCAGTCCCCAGGAATGTGGCGGTCTCATAAAAGTCAGCCCTGGGTTAAACAAACAAACCAACCTGGAGGCTTCTAAGTCAGCTGTGAGGCTCTACCAGGCTTCTCCTTCCCTGCTCTGCCTGCCACCCCTGCCCAACCCCAGCCCCTGCTCCCACTGGGATCTCAGAGCCACCTTCCACACACCCCAGGACTAGGAGGGAACAGCACAACCCCAGTGAAACCACCTTCAGACTGAGCAGGGAGGGGCTGCCCAGAAGCCTGAAACACACCTCCCCCTGCCCAGGGCCTCCCCTCACCACCTGCCCCACCCCCACAATCTCTGCCCCTTACTCCTTCATATTTGGTGTCTAGCAACCCCACTTCCCAATCTCAGGCCCTGCAAACCAGCTCTTATCCTGCCTGGGTCCATACATCACACCTCAAAGGAATGGAACATGTCCCTGGGAAGGTTCCGCCAAAGACGTGGAGAAGCCAGAGAGGTTAGGACCAGCTGGGAGCCTCTTCCTGCCCCCCTTCCTGCTTTCCACATCCCCTCCCCCCTCCCCAGGACTCAGCACCAGTAATGTCCCACTGAGCCTGGCCTGGGAGCAGGCTCAGGGACTCTCTGCTAAGGGAAGAGGGACCCACACCCCTAAGTGCCTGTAAACAAAGAGGAAAATATGCAAACACTCAGCCCACTCACAAGAACACAAGAATTCACAGCTGGACCGAGGGATGCGCGCAGGTGCAGACCACACTGCTGATCAAATGAGCTGCCCTGACCGGGCCAGAGCTGCGGCTGCAGCTCCCACGCTAGGGCCCCCAGCCCTACGGTGCCTCAAGCCACTTAAAATATTTCAGAAAGCCAACAGACAGCCTACACTTAGCCACAGTGAGGCTTCTGGGATTAACAGTGAGGCTTCTGGGACTCTGGCTTTGCTTTTAGCCAGAGTCACATCAACTCAGTGCAGACCATTTCATGCTGATAAACATTCTGAGGGTCCATGTACCAGAATTAGATAGAGAAAACGGAGAAAGAAGTCATAAATTAGCAATCATTATTTAACAAATTTTTTCCAAACATGGAGTATATAGCAGATAATAAAATGGATCTTATATGCTTACTTCCTTAATATACAAAGAGCTCCTATGAATCAATGAGACAATGATGCATAGACCTCCCTTGAAATGGTCAAACATCAATAACATGGGATTCACAAAAAGAGAAGAAAGAAATTAAAATAGTCAACAAATATAGGAAAAGATGCTCAAACTCACTCTAAAAGGTATTTAATTTTTAATGAGATATTATTTTTCACCTATCAAATCAACAAAGACTTAAAGGTTGATAATACTCATATTGGTAAAGATGCAAGAAAATGGGCATTCTCATACACTACTGATGGTACTGTAGGTTGTTACAGTGTTTTGGGAAGTCACTTTGTTAACAAATATCCAAATTTTAATCAGCAGGCAGTTAATCTACAATAATAGCTATTCATCTCAGCACTATCTGTAATAGTAAAAACTGGAAGCATCTTAAAAGTCCAGCAAAAAAGGAACTGGTTACTTGAGTATTTACAATGACTTTGCAGTCAGTACAAAGAATGGGTGGATATACAGACATTGACATAAAAAGGATGCCCAAAATATGACATTACATGAGAAAAAAAGCTGGCCATAAAATATATAGTTATGATTCAACTGTGTTAAAAAAAAATACAGTGATGTGTATCTATATATGCTTGTTTATAAAGAACATGCCTTAGGGATAAACAAGAAATTCTTAAGAGTGGTTCCCTGGGGAATAGAATGGGAGAAGGAGCAAGGGTGAACAGAATGCTCTTAATTTTTATATGCCTTCCCTTGATCTTATAGTATTTATAACTTTTAATGATTTTTATTGTGTATAATTGACATATGACACAGTTTCAGATGTACAACATAATGATTTAATATATGTATGTAAATTGATTCTTGAGGAATGGCTACCCACTCCAGTACTCTTGCCTAGAGAATTCCATGGACAGAGGAGCCTGGCAGGCTACAGTCCATGGAGTCTCAAAGAATCGGACACAACTGAGTGACTTTCTCTTTCACTTGGCAAGGAAAAGATTCAAGCTCCCAGTTTAGAAGCACTGGGTGATTCCTAAGAAGGGGCCTACAGAGGATGTGAGGATGGCTGTCCCAAGGTCCAGAGTGGAGGCTTGGAGGGTCCCCTGCAGAGGAGGGGAGCCCCGTAGGAGCAGGTGTGTCTCTCATCTGGAAGAAGATGTCAGTGGAGGGAGCTCTGCTCTCTCAGCACCTCACCCCACTCAGGCAGGGAGACAAGACTTGGAGGGCAGGCTGACTTGCCCTGGGGTGTGGTCCAGCCCCTTCTCCTCTCCCTCCACCCCAGGCCTCCTCCTCCTCTTTCTGACCCAAGCCTGGACAAAATCTCCAACCCACAAGAATACAATTAGAACAACTTTTCTAAAAGGAAAAGCAAAAGTGACAAGACCATCAGATAGATAGCTGTTTGGGAGCAGAGTGTTTGACCAGAAGGTCTCACAGCCTGGCCAGGGATGCTAAGACCAAGGGTGGGGTCCTCTGAAGGAGGAAGACTTTTCTGGTCTTTGTGATACTCCTGCAACCCACTCACCCCCATCTTAACTCCAGTCCCATGGAGGCAGAGTAGGGTCACATGGTTCTTGACTGGCAGGTCAGCTCCTAAGTTTCTTATCAGGGCTGGCACTTTGCTTCCCTGGCCATCAGTCTCTTCATCCATAAAGTGGGCATCATGGCACCCTGAGGGTTGATGTGAGGATTAGAAACATAAATAAATATTATAGCAGGAGGAGTGCCACATAAAAAGCATACGGTTAACTACCTTTATGTGGTAGTAATTTTGCAATAATAATTATTAATTGCAATTGCCACTGTAATCATTTTACAATATATACCTATATCAATTCATTGTGTTGTGCATCTTAGATTTATACAATGTTACATGTCAATTACATCTCAATAAACCTGGAGGTGAAGAGCATATATAACTCTGTTCATCCATGTTCTTTTATCACAGCCTTACCTCTGTGTCTTTGTTCTGCTGGTTCCCCTGTTCCGGATGCCCTTCCTTTTTCTCCATCTGGTAAAATCTTACTATTTTAAGGCTTACCTCCAGTATCACCTCCTTTGAATCCACCCACCAAGGCAGGAGGCGCAGGAGACACAAGTGTGATCCCTGGGTTGGGAAGATCCCCTGGAGAAGGAAATGGCAACCCACTCCAGTATTTCTTGCCTGGAAAATTCCATTGGCAGAGGAGCCTGGCAGGCTATAGTCCAGGGCAATAGTCGGACACAACAGCGATCGAGCATACACACCAGTATCAACTCCTTTGTCAAAACTTCTGCAGCCCTAGATGACCAGAAGCATCCTCTCCTCCTCAGGACTTCTGGGCACTTTCCTCCTAGCCCCTCAGCCCTCACCAGCTAGGTCGTGGGAGTCACTGACCTCATGCACCGGGAACTCTGGGCCGGGATGCTGCCTTTTTGTGTCCTGTCTAACATAGAAGCCACTGGGCAAATCTTTGTCAGACCCACAGAATGACTTCTGCTTGTCTCCTGACAACCCTCCCCCCTCCTTTTTCGGGGGCGGGGGCTGAGCAGGGGAATGGCTTTCCTTTTCCCTAGCTGCTTTCCTGGATTTGGTTGATTCCAAAGAAGTTGGGGTGGCCTCAGTGGGGGCCCAATTCCGATACTCTTGAGGTTGGGGCTCCCTCATTACAGGGAGGGGCTGGGGATACCAAAAGCAAGGGGCACAGCTGGAGAGTTGGACTCGGCTGGGACGTGTGCCCTAGAAGGGTGGATGCCCAACACAGGGCTGTCCCATTAGGTCACCCGAACTCAGTGGCTTCAGCGGCCACACACTAGCCTTTGGAGGGAAGGAGCCGGCCTCCCCTGACCCCCACCACAACACACACACACACACACACACACACACACAGATGTGCACAGCTGGATTGTTCCCTCTGAACCTGTTGTTCCTCCCCACTCCCAGAAGGGCCACCCCACCCCAGACCTCAGGAAACATCATGGGTCTGTCCCGCCCCCTGCTGGCCTCGGAGAAAATAGCCCTGAGGAAAGTGCATTAGTCCTGAAGACGACGACCACCCCAGCCCCAAACTTCCCCCTGTCCTGTGGGTCTCACCACTGGACCTTAGTTACTGTTCAAGTCCAAACTCTTTGGCTGGGCAAAGTCCTTCAGGACCTGGTTCCAAAGTCCCTTTCCCATCTGACTTCCCACCACTCGCTCCCCAAACCCTGGCGCCAGCAAAGCATCTGTGTTTTTTTGCCCCTGGAATACACTCACCAGTGTGTCTTGACTGCTGGTCTTGATGCAAGCTATTCTCTTCCAGCAATGCCCTGGCTCTTTCCTCTCAGCTTCAAGATCCGGTCAAGTCTCACCTCCTGGCTGACCACCCCAGCTCCAGACATCCTCCAGCACTCGGCCAGAGTTCATCCCTGTCCCCTGTGGCTTGTGCCCACCCTAGTCCCATCTGCAGCTAGACAAAGGATAGTCACATCGAATGCGCACAAACTCAGGGCTTCAGCACAGGGCCCGGCACACAGTTGCCGATACTCAGTGCTGGGTGGGATAGGTGATCAGTTCCAGCACCTCATGTTTCCATTTCTCCCACCAGCCCCAAGGGCTGCGGGGAGGCTGGCAGGGTCCCTCGGGAGGGGAAGGGTGCTCTCAGTTTAAAATGTAGGTCCCTGATCATTCTCCAGGCCCCTTGCCCTCACAGAACTAGTATCTGGACGGCACCAGCTGTCAAGGAGAGGTGGAAAAGGGGAGGCCCCCGATGTGCAGCTGGACCTGGGAGAAATGTGTGTCCAGGGGATGCTGACACCTTCCTCCAGGTCATTGTCTCCTCTCCCAGCCACTTCGGCTCTCCTGACTTCTGGTTCCTGTCTATCTTCATTCACTCACCCACTCAGTGATCCTTTGTTAGGTGGCAGACACTGGTTTGCTTGTGAGTATTACACAGAAAAGAAAGACACAAAACCCTGTCCTCAAGTGTTTCCTTGTCTAGTAGAAGAGAAATTGAAGGTCTTCACCAGTATCTCGCATTAAGGGTTCTGACAGAGAAGAAGCTTTGTGTCCTCTCAGACTACAGCTGAACCAGCTGAGAAGCAAGGGGAATCCAGGGACCCTTCCAGGATATGGGTGTGTTAGAGATGAGATGGGAAGGAAGCACCCAGGCATTAACCAGGCAGGAAAGATGGGGAGGCAGAAAGTGAAGCCAGGTCTGGATTTCTGGGCACTTCTTTGCACATGGATCCAGGGTAGGAAGAGGAGATTTGCAGAAAGCAAATCTCAAGTGCCATGGGCAAAGATAAGGACTTGGATTTTTTTTTTTTTTTTTTGCTTAAAGCAAAGGGAGCAACTGAAGGATTTTTAAGCAGGGAAGTGACGCGTGTACATATGAATTTTAGGCAGATCTGTCAGGCAGAGGTTGGCAAGCAGCAGAAGGGAGCACCTGTAGGGAGGTCTGGGAGGCTGTGGTGGAATAAAGGGGGTGGGGGTGGGTCTGAATTAAGGCAGTAACAGCAGGGATGGAAGATCATAGCAGATTCTGGAGTTTCAAACAAGAAAAACATACGACTCAGTGCCTAGATGTGGGGAGTGGATGGTGGGACCACAGACTGAGATGAGGACACCAGAGAAGGAGCAGGCTCAGTTTGGACCCCAATCTCTGGGGCCTCTGTCCTCTCAAAGGACAGTGTTCTCTGCATGGATGCTGCAACCCACATGACCCCTGCCTTGCCCTTCAAGACCTTCCCTGGAATTGCACCTTGCTGGTGAAAGGACAAAGCAGGAACCTCGGCCTCTGCCCCGTGTCCTCCCCATCACACAGGATCCTGCCCTTCCTCTTTGCAGCCCCAAAGGAGTGGGGTAGATGGGATTTAAGAAAAAAAATGGAGGTGAAGGAGCCAGGGAACCCATTAGGACTGAACCATTCAGCTCCCCTGCAGGAGAGGTTGGAGGTGGGAAGCTCCCCAGGCCAGGAGCCATGAAGACAAATTCTATCCAATGAGGTGGCAGCCCTGGCTTCAGTTTCCTCAGCTGTAAAATGCCCAGCTCTATGGTAGAGCTACAGGCTGTATGGTGGGGCTAATGGCGACCTCCTCCAAGAGGACTTATGTCAACACGCTGTGCCTCCCAAGACTGCTGCTGCCAATGCCCCTGTCCCTACGGCAGGCCACTGCTAACTCACACCTCCACAGGAGACCCTGAAACACTCACAGGCAGGACTCATGGGAAAAGACCCCGATGCTGGGAAAGACTGAAGGCAGGAGAAGTGGACGACAGAGGCTGAGATGGTTGAATGGCATCACCAACTCAATGGATGAGTTTGAGCAAACTCCGGAAGATGGTGAAGGACAGGGAAGTCCATGGGATCACAAAGAGTCGGACGCGACTTAGTGACTGAACAACGACAACAAAAATGCTCAGCGGGGTCAGGCCACCTTCGAGGTCCCACCCACCACAACCGCCTGTGGTTCCACCCTGTCCTGGCCTTTTCTGTCTGCAATTCACCGACTGGCCAGCAGAGGGGGCCCACACCCCTTCCCAGCCAACCTGGAGCCCGGCCAGGGAGGCTGGCGAAGAGACAGGAAACCTGACTAAATCACCACTGTGTTGAGCATGTGACTTGCTTAGCGCAGCACTAGGCCCCCGGGCTCGCATTCAATAAGTAGGAGCCATAGTCTACATTTTGCAGATGAGGAAACTGGGGTTCCAAGAGTCACATTTGAACCCAAGGATTCAGGCACCAATGACTATTTAGGCAGCTCCAGGAAAGCATGATTTACTGTCTCTTAACATGTGAAGAACTTGCCTTAAAAGAGGGAGCATGCTGGGTGAATGTTACAGGAATGCAGGCCTGACACCGGCTTAGGAAAGAATGCTCTAATAGTCAGGGTTGTCTGGCTGGAACAGGAACTGCCTTGATGGTGAGCACGGTCTCTGAGGGAATGTTTTAGGCAGCCAGGAATTAAGGGGTGGTGGGTCTCTCTAAAGGCCCCTCCAGCCCAGAGGACCACATTCTGAGAGGACTGAAGGGCCTAGTGCAGTGGGTGCCTGCCCCACATCACGGAAGCCACTGCCCCTCTGGGGCTCAGCTCTCTCTGGTTCCTTGCAGCTGTCCACACTCTCCCCAGGACACAGTTAGCCTCAGGGCCGGAGAGGCCCAGGACCTTCTCTGCAGGCTCTGGATCCCAGTCACGAGCCCAGCGGCAGGCCCACTCCCACCCCACCCCACCCCCTACTCCTGGCTGCCCCACAGCTGGCCCCTCTCTCTGAGGCTTGTTCTGGAATGCAGGGCAGGCCTCTCTGGGCAGGGTCTCTGGGGGCCTGAGTTCTGTGCTCTTTTCACAGGGCTGTGGCCCTGCCAGTCTGCTGGGGCGGACAGCCTGCCACAGTCAGCAGGCTTATTCTGGGAGCCCCACGAGGCTGTGGCTCAGGCCTCTCTTTGGACAAGTATTCTGGGTCCAAGTTGGGGAGGCCAGGGTTCCTGGCCTGAGCCACTGTCCAGCCCTGTCCAGTTTCAGAGCAGAGCACAGTGGGTCATTTCTCTGAAAGGATGCTCCCTGTCTGTGGCACAAACACACCCCACGGGGCACACCCAGGGCACTGAGGGGGGAAGCGGGGAGGCAGACGGGACAGCCTCCCAGGTCCACGCCAGTCAGCAGCAGCCCGCACGGGCCTCTTCGGGTAACACA